CATGTCACCCCACCAATTAGAATTTTGATGTCACTATCTGCAGTGCGATCTTGTCCAGTATTGATTCCAGTTGTCTGTAGAATTCCTTCTTCTTCTTCTCTTCATCTGCATTATTTGTAGGTGGATGGCGTAGCACTGAATGATTGTGACTTTCCTTCCTTTCGAGTTGAATCTTGCTGTCATCATCCTGATTCTGATGCTGGAGTAGTAGATTGATCCTCACTGCATGAGAGAGAGCCTTCGATGCACTTAGGACGAGGACATCATGATAGTCACTCCAAAACTCAGTGTGCTCGTGATTGTCAACTGGGTGACAATATCGGAGTAGATTATTGACTCTCCAGTTGATAGTTCGGAGAGTCCACTTATATTCCGTCTGCTGATTCCAAGCACTTCCACGTCATACCTCCTCATCTCTTTTGCAATCTGCGTGGGCTTGCTAGGTGAGTACATGTTGTGGACATTCCATGACCACATTCTTACCTTCGCTTTTATCGATGGCGAGAATACACATCGGCCAATTGGCTTCATGAAGGCTTTCACCAACCGGCGTCATTTCGTCTCTCTGATTCCAGCAAGGAATCAGTTTATTTTTATTTTTTATATTTTCTTTGTGCTTTGAAGTTTCTTTAGAGATTGGATTGGTTTTCCGAGGTAGGGTTGCTAGCCGTATGTCCAACCTTCCCTCTTTATCCGGGCTTAGAACCGGATAGCAACTAGTAAACTAGTGAACTAGGCTATGTTATATATATGTATTCAGATAACCTTCTAGTGTTTCTGTGTCTACTAACTGGTCATCGCCAACTATTACGCCCGACCAATTTTTCTTAAGCAAGCATCACAATTTGCCAGGACAAGTTCAAGACAAGAATATGCCTGAAAAGTGCACTATCGCAAAAGAGATACCTTTTTTAGTGTTGTTTTATTCGTTTTCATCACATATATAGTTGTATATAAAATAATCAAAGGTTAAATCTGACAAATTTCAGTCAGCCAGCTAACAGTCACACTGAAAGCTCTATTTTGTGCGCAGTATATAATAAAATCGTTTGTTAGATGACTGATAGATTCAGCTGTGAATTGGAGAAACAGTAATTCAAAAGTTGGCTTCCTTTAGTTTAACTGGCTAACTCTAATGATAAGAAAAGATGATGTCTCTTCAGTAATTGTTCACTTAGAGCACTTTGATGTTGGTCTAGAAAGAATCGTATTCTCAGATCTAAGTGGTCATCTTTGTGAATGTGCTTATCATTGACGACAAAATGAAAACAGATTATACATTTGTATAAGTGTACAGGTATACACTTGTATTACATTATACTTTTGAACGTATATTTCGAACTATTTTAAGACTTATCAAATGAGAAGGTATACAATCTTCCTATATCCAAAGGTTAAGGATTCATATAGAGAATAAGGTAAAACCTTTCGGTTCTATTCATCGACTTATGGTACGAAACCGCTTTATATCACACAGTGAAAGTTAACTAGAGAAGTAGGTGTTTACTCGAGCCAGAAGCAAGGTATAAGAGGAGAAAAGTGATCCAATGAGTCCACTGCAAACGGTTAAACTCCCTGTAAATATCCCGTCACCAAATACCAGCTGCCTACTTTGAACAACTCTGTCTTCTAAATACTCTATAATGTATCTTACTACAGAATACTGAAATAGTCTTTCACTGGACATTTGACTGTCTGTTGTGCAAAAAAGCTTATGTGTTTACATGGAGATTTCAATGACAGTAAGATGTTGGCTATCATTCAAAATAGAAAATCTCAAGTTTAAATTGTAAGCAGTTGAATTTAAGAGGAACATTTATGCTACTAATAAGTAGGTTATACTTTTTGCGTAATTATTTTTGAGTGAAATAAATTTGTAAAATCCCAGTAAGGTAGAAGAATTAATTTCCATAAGGAAAATGAAATAATGAGTTCTGGATTAGAACAGTATTTCTACCATTCTTCCAAGACACAACTGGAGAGCTGCAAAGAATGTTAGGTAAATTACCGAAATAGAGCCTTCTACAAGAGAACCAACACTTTCAGGAATGATTTAGTTCACTTAAAAGATAGGATTCTTTTTTTACCTCTAAACATAAGTAGTCTACAGATTAGACTGTCGATTGCAATTTTTATTATATTGGGGAATCATCCCATGAGATCTCCATTCGTGAGAAAGAATATTCAAGTTACACAAAATGACCTCTAGATAATCCTGTAGAACTGGAGAATTTACAAAACAAATTTACAATTGCCGCTCATGGCATCTAGTACAGTTACAAAACTGGTATTGAAAACAATAAAGTTATTCAGAAAGGTTCTACAAACGACAGAGAGACGGATAGCTGAGGCATTTCATACTATGGTGAATACTATTGCACTCAGTGGAAAGGGAGGGCCTAGCCATCCAACCAACTTGGACAGTATATCCGAAACAACACGTTACACACACTGGTCATAATTAAGGTACACCCACAAAGAAATAAACTGAATTATTCATCCATGTCATTTTTCAGCTGACTTAGAAGGCCACCTTGGCAAATGCTGAAATAACCAATCAGGTTTCGGTATTCCTACAAAAAGTGGCTTTTCATAAAATAAGAAAACGTAATTGGTTATTTCAGCAGATGCTATTTTTCTCACCCCGATTCACATATGAACACATATTCATATATTTAACTTGAACTCAAAGTCTAATAACTGATAACGATGTCACGTATTCCCATATTCTTGTGCGTGGACGTGGTTAGGATTTTCGCCACTTACCATTTAAACATGCGATAACTTGTGCAGGTTTTATTCTTTGAAGAAGTGACTTACACCAGGTTGTAAGAAACGCCAAAAATTTATTTTTCTATGTTGGGATTTTACAAATATATTACATTTATGTTGCCCAACTTGTTCAACTCTATCAGGTCATCTTTTGATCCTGAAATCTATAAAGTGATTGTTTTTAGCATAAATAATAGCGAATTGTGTTCATTCTGATTACCTTGCTCATAACATACTATTATTACGATTACTTTGTGATCAGTTTAACAATCTATTTACAGAAAACCTACTTGAAGAGGACAGTAATTAAATCACCACAGTTTCTGTTCAAACCAATGCAAATGAGGTTTAGTTAATGGCTTATTTAATTGAATTCAACGCATATGCACAGCCGATATGCTGAAAGAAGAGAGATGATTGACGGAGATGTTGATCCAGAACACCTACCCAATGAAGTATATTAGTTGGCATAAAGTCGACAGAACATTGAGAAATAATGTATACTCTGTATCTAAGACAAATGTATTCATAAGGCTACCATACACTGGTGATCCAAATAGCTTGATAGTCAGACAGAGGTTAAGGCTCAGACAATTCAAAATTTGAAGCCTATATACTCATCGAAGCCTTCGAACAGATGAAAGATGAAGTCACGTCTTGTTGTATTTACCAGCTTGGATGTACATTTCATCACACATATATGGGGAGGACTCATCGATTATGAAAAACAAAGACCATAGAACACATTCCAAAGTGGCTTCGGAAACAAATAGAGACACCTGACCCAAATGATGCTAGAAATAAACGTCAAAGCTCCTCAATTGCTAAACATATTATTGAAACGGAGCATAAAATAGATGTACAAACGTCATTTCATAATAATGATAATAACAGTTTTATTCTGAAAGATATTTGGGGGGGTATTTGTACAGCTTTTTAGCATATAATATAGCAACAGCTGGACAAGGTTATGACACTTCATGGCTATGAAAACCTCGAGAAGTAGAGAGCTGTTGGAACTCATGTTTTGACCAATGAGATATAGATTAATGGTACGAAGGAGTAATCGGTTAAGCATGTGAAAAAGGCCAACAAAGTAACGTAGGACCTGGTAAATAAGTGTATTCATTCAATTTGACAAAGAAACGGATAGAAGAATGACGTTAAGACAGAGGGAAATGTGTGACACATGAAAGAAGAGACATGAAAGTTAGCAAAAAAAACCGTATGACTTCGAAGACGATTAGGACTGTATACACCTGTGACATCGTGACCAATTTTGAACAAAACTAGAAAGTCTCCTACAATATCGGGACCATCTTCAGTTTCCTCTCAAATTAATCGCACATCAGTAGGTTTACACCACACGTAAAAGTATCCAGTGGCTCTACATGCACAACATACGTCCAGTTCACCTCAGCCACTGCATGTTTATAATATCACCAATCCTCTCGCCTTCCTTGTCTGTCTAGTGCTCGGCGCCTGATTTCAGAGTTGCTATGATCATGGTTCAAATACATACATGCAAACAATGCTATGAAGACACCTACGACCACAGACCTGTAGCTTTCTCGTTTCTCCGACTTTCAACGGCCATGGCTGTCATAGGACAGAACTGTGTAACATAGCACACTTGTCCTCTGATATGTAGCCGGATATCCTGCAGGTGTCAGACATGAAGCTCATTAACACGTGAAGAACGGCTCTTCAGTATTCCAGATGAGCTTTTGTCACCATCTAACTTATAGAGTTGAAACTATTCCTCGGGCAAAGCGGTTAATGCATGTTAAAATTTCGCTCCCTATTTACAAAAGCTAGCATCCAATCCTGACAAAACATATACCAAAATCATACACTTGACAGGCCCGAAATACATGACAAGCATACTGACATTTGTGCACAAGGCACTCAGAAGACATTTCGTGAATATTTTTGCTTAAGGCGACTTCGTCTCCATACTCGGAATCAGTCATGTGTCTTATAGGGTTCAAGTCAATCCATGTAAAGTCACAAGTACATAAGGTTATGTCTCTTAAGGCATCTACAATAACGTTAAATAAGAATTGTGACAGTGGAGATGCTTGGAAGATATCATAACAAGATTTCATCTGGTTGCTCAATTAGCAACATGCATAGTTACACTACTGGTGTACATTCATGTTTCACAAACTGTCTGAACTGTGAGTGTGACAACTTTCTTTTCCAGGCAAGTGAATCAGTAAAATAGTCAAGGAAATAAAATCTTGTTTTCTACGTACAAGTTTCGAAATGTAAAATATTGTTATAGCTATTCATACACAAGTCGATATCACTGTGGAGCAGCTGATATGACTATGATTGAAGAGGAAGGTAATTGTCAGTAAAGTACTGGCAACACGTAGTTTAATATCAACCAAAAAGTGACTTTAGTAAAGGTATTTTTATTATTAACTAACATTCTGAATTAACGGTTCAAAAAAGGTTATCTGTTAATGTGAAGTTTGGACATATTACTCCAATCTTCATGAACTAAACAACGTCTTCTAGTGTCTACATCAAGTTACATAAATTCTATTCACCATTAAAATGACTAAGTTATAACGTTCAAAGAAATGCAATATAACAGTTAGATCTCTGAGCATCGTTTACAACATTTAATTCAACAGATTGGCAAGAAAGATGAGCATTAAACAAAATACTGATAGCATTTCGCTTCATATGCGTATGTAGCTGTGAGCTGCCATGACCTTGTCCTACAATCAGTAAAAATAGTTTTCTAAAGCTTACAAACCATAGGCTAAACGGTAGTAACGATAATCATTCAGCCAAAAGTACAAATAGAGAATTATGTGCATGGTTAGCATTATATACACTATAAAGTGATGGATCATGCAAATAAAAGCAAAAGAAACAGTATTTTTCATCCAATATATTGAAATCATCCTCCTAGAAAAAGGGCAGCAGTACTTTCTGCAAAAAAGGTAGAGCTAGAAACTGAAGACCATAGTTATATATGAGCTGGAGATCATCAAATAAGTTTGAAAAGTTTAAATAATGACTAAGAAATAACAACGACATCCAGTAATGATATTAGACAATGTAGCAAAACAATCGTCATGGTGCAACAACAATCACAACAGAGGAGGAGGAGTTTATTTTTGACTCGAGTGAGCTGTATCTGACAGAAGTCATTATCATGAATAAAAACCAGAACTTTGAGACTCGACTGGATTTTCACTTTTTTTTAAAAAAAATTCTTGACAAACGGGATTGTAATTTAAACACATACATCACCAAGAAATACACTTGAATATGCATAAGAGTTTAAGTATACACAACATATTGGTTCTAATGTGAATCGATCACTTACAAGGGAATCATACAACTCTACACATAATAATAATTATTATTAGCAGTCATCGCACACAAAAAATATTGTCGTCTATGATATGAAAGAGAGTGTAAGATGGAAGAGACCAGAAAAAGAAAGTTGAATTCAGGTAAGTTTCTAAAAAATTACATTCTTTCATTAAATTAAACGGGCTAAAACAGTTGTCTGTTCATTTGAAGCTGCCGGGACAGGATAGAAACCGAAACGTCGATAGAGTTCTGCACGATGTTCATTAATAGAATCCAACTGTGTATGTGCACCCTGAAATGAAATATCAGGAATATACTCTTTTTTTAGCTAACAGTATTCAAAACCTTTAAGTAATACTTTTCTGACACTAGAAAAACTCGGAAAGAAGAAACACAATAAACCTATTATATAATTAAACGAGACCTACTCACCAATTAATGGGATAAGGTTGTTATAATGATCATAAAAGTATCTACAGCCGTTAAAATACATAAGCTAAGAATATATACTACTTGCCTAATAAATATAATACTGAGAAATAGCACTAATTGCTGATTACGGCAACACAGATTGTCAATCCTTACAGAAGTGCATTAAACACTGTCACTGTCACCTCTTTCAACATATAGAAATAAACTAGTGTATTGGCTCAGTCGTAACCCGAATGATTTTACCACAGTATCCTCTCTGCAATGCTCAGTAATATCACTGATAAGAACAGAAGGTTGACAATTTTGAGTCCTGAAAAATAACCGATTACCAGTACTTTCGTGTAAAGCGTAGTGTATATAATTTTGAATTGTTATTGCTGTAAAAATCATCGTTTCCTCGTGTTTTCCACTAAGATATTCATTTTGACAAGTCAACATTTCTATTTGGTTCATTATATCAAAAAGGAAGTTATAGTTTATTTGTGCAGCTTTAGTATACCTACTAGTAATTATTTTATCCTTGTGTTAACAGTACGTCGAGGTATAGTATCAAAGGTCAAAATTCTTGTCACAAATGAAAAATGTATCATCACATATTTTGTCGAATTTAAACTGCTTGATAACTAAGTTGAATATAGTTGCATTCAATTTGGACATGAAGATACCTATTAATAGAGAGCTAATTTAGGATCTCATAGTTACCCATCTTTCTGGCGGTAGAAAGTTTATGTTGAACGCGAACTGTACATCAGAGGTGTATCTTAAGCATAGTTCTTTCAGTATACCAATGTTAATTGCATTCGACCGAATACAATTACACACGAAGCAAACTATCTTAATTAGTGGAACATCTGTAAACAATGAAGTAACATTGAATGATAACATCATATTGTCCAGTATCTCCCAGTATGAGTCAGTAAGGGTTAACGATCAATAGCTCCATACTGCTCTTTATTTTAGTATTTGTATTTCCTAATGAAATGTAAAACAAAATAAATTTGTTTCAACTAATCCAATGTACATAGGACAAACTTCCCGGGAAATCAAAATAAAGAAAAATGAACACCGAAGAGCTTCCACCTGACCTCCCAGAAATCCAGTGGAACTGAAAAAATTGAAAACCTATCATCAATAGCTCTACATGCTATAACTTCAGGTCACAAGGTCGATTTTGACAGTATCGAAATTATTTAGAGCTTTGGGAATACGAACATCCAGGAGCAACTTTGTCATTCACTGCCCATATTCACTTCATAATGTTTTCTAACTTTTCAATTTCCAAGGCCTCTTTTGATTTTCACATTGTTAGGTGGATGTTGTTAGCTCAGTTACTTGGTTTCTCACTTTCTTCCAACATTGACAACTGTTTGCCTACTTTATTACGAATTCATCGATTCTTGATTTCGACTCATACTTACTCATTCATGTTTCTTACGTAACAATCTACTTAGAATTACTGACTGACAAATACTGACATTTTTATCAATAAATGTGTATACCAGTTAATTATTAAATGCGACTGTACAGTTCTTGAGAAAGATATCATCGGAAAAAAATTTGTTTGTTGAAGTTTTCTTCTTTGATTCGGACTTTCTCAAAAACGGAAAAAGTTCTTCTTTTTATGTAGACAATCTTCTCGTTCATTTATTATATTTACCACCCCATATATCCTTCTTGTACATGCGTCTTTTCTACATCATTTTCATGTCTTTGCATCGGAACACCTTAGCGTAAATGATTTGTTAATGTCAAGTTAATACAATATGGATAACCATCTCATCTTCATCCTTTCAGATCATACTATTAAACTTAAGTATGTATCAAAGCAATGTTGATGTGAAACTTAACGAAATCGTTATTCGACGCTGGAACTACATCACTAATTTGTTTGTTCAAGCTTCCTAATTGGACTTCTGTGTCGAGTTCATTAACTTCGACTTGATAGAATTGATCTGATTTCATGCTGGGTATTCTCTGGGTCGAAAATATTCTTTATTTATTGAAATTAAAGACTGAGAGTTTGTTTTATAGGCCGTTATATTCACTTCTTTTATAGCTCAACGCGAATAATTAAGTCTTTGAAGGTTGGATAACGTCAACATAGTAACTTTAAGAATACACTGACATGGTGGAAGATATAAGCTGGTAAGATGTAAATGACATTACTTTTAACTGAACAGGTGTTTTAACCTGTACAATTAGCAAAGTATCTAGGTATGATATTTTGAGAAAAGCTACAGGCAGTCCAACATTCATGTAAGACATTATCCGTAACTAATGAAGCAACTGCTTTTTATAAGGTCACATATTTTTACGCAGTTGTTAGACATTACTTGAGTATCATTAATTATAGATGTAAACTGTTCATATTACCAAATTTGTGATAATCTACGAAGATTAACGCTTTAGTACTACGCCTACAGTCACTCCATAATAAGATAACCAAAAAAAGAGAAGTTCGTTAGTTAAACTGAAATTTATAAAACTTGAAACTTACATGAGCACCAATAGTTTTCAATGCAGCCAGTAGGCAAATAAACAGTCGGCGAGCGACTGAATCCAAAAGTAGTTCAGGTGGATCGGTACACAATCCAAGATTATGATTCAGTAGCATAGTGGGCGTTGGGCCACTTACACAACCATTTAATCCTATATCATCGAATTCTACCCATAGTGTAGCAGGATGAGCTGCTAAAGCACTATGAAGTGCTTCCAGTCCACCAGCCACAATAAGATTACGAGCAACAGCTGAGGTTGTTGTCGCTGGACTGCTAGAACATGTTTCAGGTACGAAAGGTACACATACACCGGACGGTGGAGATGGAGGTGCAGTATCAGGTAAGATAGGTGTAGGTAACGGCAGAGGTGGGATAGATGCAGAACATTCAACAGGAAAAGGAGGTTTTGGATCCAGCTGAGATGGTAAGTTGGCGGGAACATTTGGAGTAGCCGAGATAGTACTGGTAGACTCACGTTGTTCCAAACAACCAGAAAGAGGTGGTTCTATAGAAAGGCATCCACCAAGAGGTTCAGGGGGAGGTAGAATGTTTACAGCTGCAGCAATATCAACAACTTCTTGTGCATCATTGTGGAAGGAACAAATTAACGACTAAAAATTCAAAAAATTCCCATGATCACATATTGTTATTGTAATAACTATGTTGATCAAACAACCGTGAACAGCAATTTAACGAACACTCAAAATTATGAGAAAATATTTACATCTCATCCCTTTTCTCACTACTTTTTCCTCATATAAGCGCAGCATTTCACTCCATCAACCGACTGATCCCACGGCAATGTCTCTCAATGAAAGCCATGCCAGGTAAGTATATCATCTTGCAAAAAGCTGTCTACTCTGGTACGCAAGGGTGTGTTAGAGCCTATGGTGAGTTATCACATGAGTTGTCTATGTCGAGTGGCATCCATCAAGGATGTTCACTCTCTCCATTCTTATTCAGCTTTATCATAAACATTCTTATCGATGTCTCCTTCACATCATCTGACTTCACAGGGATTGATGCTTAATACAAGAATCCTTTGTAGATTTAGAGCATGCAAACGTATTAGGCCTGTTAGTCGATGTTGAAAAGATGCAGAATCTTCTGGACACCTTGAGTGTCAGTTCGAGAATGTTCGAGATGCGTTTTTTTTATGGATGTCTTCTTCTCGTCATCTGACTTCACAGGGATTGATTCCATCACAGAGAAATCCTTAACATGCCTACAGTTCACAGGTGACAGTCCTGATAGGTGAAAATTCTGACAGGATACAAAGTCCTCTGCACACCTTGAGTAGCAGCTGAAGATATTCGGGATGCGTTTCTCACTACCCAAATGCAAATTGTTGCTTCAAAAGCTGGTCTTCTCTGGTGCCTTGTCTAACAATAGGAGGCGAAGTGGTTAGGTGCATTGACCACGTTACCCGCTTGGGAAGTCGGATCAGCCCTGATGGGTCAGTGACTGACAAAGTCTAAGCATGATTAAAAAAGTCGCACTTAGCTTTCGACACATTACGTCGTTTATGGCGCCGCTGTGATATCCGATTATGTAATAGGAGCGAGTGTACTGTGTTGCAGTTCGCTCTGTTCTATTGTATGACTGTGAAACATGGCCATTAAAGGCAGAGGATATGAGAAGGCTTCAGGTGTTCAAACCCGTTGTCTTTGTAACAGAGGCGGTGTACCGTGGTGTCACCAGGTCAGTATTGCAGAATTAAAATTTAGAGTTTAAAGAAGAGGAAAGTCAGTTGATGGTGTTGTGGACCTTCATCGACCGAGGTGGTTGGTAAATGTGTAGTACATACCTGATTACCATTGTCTGTCTCGCGCACACTGATGCGACATCAGTGCATGAAGTCTTTGACTTTTGCTATGAACTGTGAGGGGAAGTGTAGACTTCCCGGTCTATCATCAAAGGAGTAACAACCTGTTTCACACGTTGAGTGAAAAAAATAAAGCGTAAAGTGGAAAAGACATGATAAAATATTATTGTTGCAGGAATAAAAAGCGAATAAAATTGGTAATAACCTTGATAAATTCTTCAACAGCTACGGACGTTCGACTTGGACCAATGGCTGAAGAACGATCCTCCGCCAAGGAAGAAGGTTGAGTAGACAAATTTACTTGAAGTTCCAGCCGATTACCAGCGTTTCCATGTTGATTAATGTTACTAAGTTCACCATTTTCGCAAACTGGTTTGTTACACTGAGTTATATCTTGAACGCGAATTTGAAAATCACGCGGATACTTTGATTTCATTGACTCGCGAAAGTGAGTATTACGTTGACGAGCCCAAGATACAGCATCAGGCGCTGAAACACCAAAACCAACACAGTTAACTGAATAATCAAAACTTGTAACTGAATTACAAGTACGATTACTATCACTGCAGTACTCAGTAGTAGCTTGAAGAAAAGGTGGACCCAATACCACAAAACAGTTTTCAGGTGAATGTTGCAGAAACGGTAGTAAGTACCTAAAATGCAATACAGATATGGAATCTAAGTGATTATTCATTGTTGTTTCAATTTATAGAAGAATCTAGATACAAAATAAAGTGGAAATATCAATATACATACATACTTGTCTAACAATCAATACGACGTATAGAAGAAATACACAGGAACGAAAGGATCCAGTAGGTAAGAAAAAGAGGATATGTATTGTCCATGATGGTAACTACGTTTGCTGTGATTATCCCTGTTGACTGATATGGCTTTCTGATAACATGGTATCTTTGTATTCCAATTGAAAATCCAAATCAACTACTGGCAAACAGCATAACTAGTCCATCAGTGGCACTATATACTACGAGTAACATCTCGACAACACCGCTATGTATACGAAATTAATGAATATTATCAGTTTGTAGTAATTTGACTTTACTAATGTGGAGTAAAGCTACTCATGACTAAGATTTTCGTTATAAAATATAAATAAAAAGATAAGAAATACTACAGAATATTATTTATCAAATTGATTTTCGCTACATGAACTTTCTAACAGATTCTCATGTAATACGAACTGGTTTGGTCATGAAATGACCGCGCTAGTATAGAAAAAAAAGTTACCAACTGTGATGACGTAGATTATTATACACCAGTGAATGAAATGGTTTAGGTTTCCCAGATGTTCTTACAATAAAACAATAACAAATGTAAAAACAAAGGAATATATTCATTGCGTCATTCATCAGTTTTAAATATAATCATGACCATAGAGACTGTTTCCAGATTATTAACAAAAGTTAATTCCATCCGATTACCTTGTCTAGCAACACTATTTATTAGAAATATGCTTATAAGGTTAGTATAATTCTCAGACACTTTCAGACAAACAAGCACTACGGAGCTGTTGCTCGTTAAATTACAACCAGTAGGTCACGGGTATGAGCACCGCCCTACCTATCGACGTTTGGGAACACAGTCTTGTTACCCTTCACATAGTAAGTAGGCTCATTGCGTACTTCATAAGTGTGCACAAAGTTGTTGGGAGTATTTCACTTTTTTCGATTTCCATAAGTACGTATTTCTTTTGTTCATTGAGTTAAAAGCTTTCAAGATACCTAGGATTTGAACGCTGTTCACAGCTTTTAAAAAATATTACATAATGTGGAGGCTGGACGAGGGATACTAGGCAAGACGGGTAAGTCAATTGATGAGGTTTTGAACCTAAATCGACGGAGATGGCTTGAACATGTACTGTGTATTTCGAGCCACACCCAACTTTGACGTACCATGCTACGGGAAGCTGGATTAGGTTGGAAGAGGGGTCAGGGTGACCAGACCAAAACGTGGAACCAATCTATGAAGTCTCTAACTGTTGGTCTGAGCTGAGTGGGGGAGAAGTAAACTATTTGGCTGGGGTCTCCGAGACGTAGAAATCAGTGGTTGAAGGCTCTTGGTAATATGGCAGGAATTCAGTCACAGTGGCACAGGTGTATACAGTCATCAACATCTAAAGTTCGGATATTTGGACTAATCTTTATCATCAAACTGCCTACAGTCTCACAACTTTTTCTCTTTTGATATCATCCTTTTCTCATCCAACAGTTATTTGTGTACTACTGTCTTCTGTTGACGGCCTCGTTGAACCTTAGCTACCGAATTTATCCGTCGAACATTTTTTAACAAATCCTCTCTTTTCAATTTATTTCAATTATTTAAATATGCCCTTCGAACGTATCATGTATTCTTGCGCATTTTTAAACTGTTTGCAACTCTCCGTTTCTCAAATCAATAACAGTGGAGAGAAAATGTTACGTCATATGGAAACGGACTTTTCGGAGCAAAAAAGTACATCACATTTCTATCCGTCAGATGCTTAGCTTGAGTTGCAGATTTTTGTACCTTCTGAATGAACTACCACGATCAAAAATTACGCTTGCATTTCTGTTGATTCTTCATTATGGACCGGATGTCCATCCAAAGCCAGCTGGCTGTTTCACATTATTGCCTTGAATACTGTTATTATCAACATCATTCTGATGCAATAACCATTTCGTCTAAAAATATTGTTCTGAGAGTGAATTTGTTGAAAAATTACATGCTGAGAATTCCATACTGTCATTATTTTCTTTCCAAGTGTGGTAACTCGAACCGCTGTACTTGTATCCGAATTCCTACGATGATTTTGTCTGTCTGTCTGCCTCCATCTGAATGGAGTTCTAATAAAACTAATATAAACCATAGAGTAATGCATAGCTGTAGAGAATAGGTTTTCAGTATGCTGGGTGTTTGGAAAAGAGATTTAATGAAAAGTACACTGCTTTTTTCTATGCACGATATTTCGTAGTCAAATATACTTAGCCAATAACTGAAGAAGATATGTGTAATAAAATACACGTTGAATGTTATGATCACTTCACTTCCGCTGGGTTAATTCTTTACAGTTATCCCTTTATTCATGTTAGTGAACAAATATACTGAGAATTATGAGAATTGCAAAAGAAGATATAAACTTTTTCATTTAAATGACTCGTATATTAAGATAGTAACGCCCTACCAAGTGTTTGCATACACATTCTCACTTACTTATCGCCTGGTAGATCATGAAATTCTGGTGGTAATGCACTTTCAGGTAAACCAACACGAGCTAAAAGCAGTTTTCTGAATAGATTGTATATGTTTGACTTGTCTTCAGGTCGATATGGTCGAACCACATATGATGGATATCTTGAAAATAGTGCAAAGCTGGGAGGCTGAAATGGGATTATTGGAGGAACAGACTGTTGAAGTGGAGTGCATAAATTTGGACCACCATCAGGCCAATTTAAACAAGGAATTGTAGTCATCCCTGGTACAGCACGGCTAGGAGCAGGGAATAGATCTTGAGCAGATTCAAGTGGTAGGATCCGCTAGATACAAAAATAGGAAACCCATAGTTACTGAAACCTTCAGCTTAAAATACGAATTCTTTTTGATAAATTCGATATAGACTATTTATAACAAACCAGTAGCATCGAAGAACTTTTAGACGATGGCAATATATAGAAAAAAATTAAATAACATGTTTAATGTTGAAATGTTAAGTATTCAATGGTGCTAAGATTGCATACAACGTAAAAAAAACCTTTGAGTCGGGCATATATTTGAAACTAATAGATTCCTATATGAGTTATAAACTCAACAAACTCTCAGTTGAGTTTGAAACGATGATGATATTTTAGTTATATAGAATAAACATAAGGATGCAAAAAGCTTTCTAGACAGACTTAACACCACACAAAGCTGCATCAGTCTATCATGCGAAGCAGAAAATAATAATCAGCTTCCTTTTCTTAACAGACTATTAATGAGAAGGGAAGGTGCGTCGATAACGACCAGTGTACAGAAAACCTACGCGGATCGGACAGTACCTAGACGTTCATATTTTCTGTCTAACACAAAACAAACACGGTAAGTAAAATGCTTATTCAAAAGGACCCAACTTATCTCCAGAACAGATAGAAAAAATACAACCTTGTGCACATTCGTGCGGTAAGCAGTGAGCCACGCCTATTGTGCGAGGGCAAATGATACTACCCGGCTGCTTAGACTTCGGTAAGTGGAGCCGGGTTCGAACCCGTGACCCATTGGTTGAAAGTCATCTTCCTGAAACAATGAGTACAACTTCACGTACAACAGATAGACTAGAAGAAATCAAATTCTTAACAGAGACACTCACGAAGAATGTATATTCATAGGAGTTCATCAGTCGTTATAAAAACGTCTCAACATTACGAAATGATCAGTATTCTAACCAGAAGGAGGATGTTTACATCACGCAACCACATAAGGGAAATCAAACAGTATGGTCCTAAGACGAAGGCTTAAATACAGAGACTGAAAAAGCACTATGCATTAAAGCTCAATATCATGGAGAAAATGAAACCTATGGATCAAAATAAACCTCATCACCACATAGATGATTACATCACATCCCACTATGCATGCAAATTTAAATGTGTGTGCGGTGACACACATTGGGATAAGTGAGCCATGAAGTAGAGAGCAGTGAGGCGTATCGCTAAACAGCTAGAAAGACAATTACATTCGAATAACCCAATAAATACAGGGGGCAGATAGATGTCAAAGTCTATACTTAAACACATTATAGGAATAGGTCACAGGACCGGCCCAAAACAGTCTTAAGACAATTATATGGGAAAAGACACAAATCAACAATATCATTTTCGTTTAACTCTCGTTAGGCTTTACGCTAATATACAAAAGTTTTTCATTACACCAATCATGGTGGATTCTTTAAACTGTGGTAAAAAGGAAAGGGCAACTTTAAAGGCTACCCTAGCAACGATCGAAATAACCAATTAGGTTTCTTTATTTCGTCTGGAAAGGCAGATTTTCATAAAATAGAGAGGTCTGATTGGTTATTTCAGTTGTTGCTAGGATGGCCTTTAAAGTCGCTCTAAGGAAATGAAGCATGCAAATAATAGGCATCGACGTGATAATGCAATTAATACTAATAATAATCTCAATGATGATAGGAATAATGGGAACAGCAAGGCACTGCAAACATTTAGACAAATAATGTAGATCAAAACTTAGGAAAATGAAAGTTACGTAATAATAAAGGATGAAATGTGCAGATAATCAAAGTCGAAGTAAATACATATGTATGTGAGAGGGGTGAAGAAAGGGAAGGGAATGAAGATCGAATTGCGTAATCAAGAATGCTACATATTAATTTCTGCCGTATACCGTCGACAGTAAATTTCACTTGTGATAAATTCCTTTCTACCACAGACCAAAGAATTCATTGTGATTAGTTTAATGTATTTTTGAGATGAATGGGGATTTTTAATTTAGAAGTAGTATTCACCATGGTCTGACATCAGTTGGGGAACCATTGAAAATCTGGGAGCACTGGACAGCTGTTTCGTCCTAGTATAAGACAACTCAGCAGTACGCACCCACGACCCGGGTGAGTGGTTAACGCGTTCACCGTGAAACCTGAAGTTCCTGAGTTCGATCCCTAGCCGGATCGTGCTACTGAGGAGTCCCATGCTAGGATGAAACAGCTGTCCAGTGCTCCCAGATTTTCAATGGTTCCCTAAATGATGTCAGTCCGTGGTGAATACTACTTCTATATAAGTTTCATGTTTTACCTATAAAAAAAAATATATACTAGAGAAAAGCCTGATCAGAGCTAACTGAAAACAGTATTGTTCACCTATATCTTTTCTAATTCTGACAAATAGAATTTTGATAACAATGTAAATTAGTCAAGGACTGAACACTGAATGACCATATATATATATATATATATATATATATATATATATATATATATATATATATATATATATATATATATATATATATATATATATATATATATATATATATATATATTGTTTATAGTGATTATCATGCATGCAGTTCAAGAAAATCCTATAAAGCAAATGATGTCATCCTATCTTGCAAACGATATTCTCATTGCGTTATTTAGGAACACATAAAGGAGAAATAAGTATATGAAGTTTTAAAAACAATTTTTCCTTACTTTAAACCTTTTTTTAGTAGCCTTTATCTCATTTTAATACCAAGGAAGGTATGAGAATGTTTTAATCGTTTTTATTATCCTCATATTTTCCAAATTTTGTATTATCTTAACCTACTTATCCTACCACCAACCCTATATTTTTGTTTCTCTCTATCTTATACAACCCCTTGATAACTAAATATGCGAACAGACTGCTTGAAATGTATTGCGCAAACACATCAAATTTCTCAGATAACTTCTGATTTCTTACTACACTATATAATTCCAGTTGAATATCAGGTTTACTCAACTACACTAGTTAGAAGAAAGTTCACCACGAAAATATACAGTGAAAAAAAATGCAAAATAGAAGCTTTCAAAAATATCATTTTGACTACCTGAAGTTCGGTTATTAATCCGCCACGAAAAGTCCATGGTTCTTGATCTCCTGATGTTACCATATCTCGATAACCGGGAGAAAACCCTGTAATTTTAAAAGATAAATTTTTAGAAATGTTTAATTTCTTACAGAAAATAAGTTCTATAATGAACGGAATCACATAAATCACATATTGATCAATATAAAGAGTTTGATAACATAGACGTCAACCGGTAACACCCAAAGATCATCGGATCAAACCACGACGACTATCTCAACAATAAGATCAAAATACTTTAGTTTACAGATAATTTTTAAAAATACTGGACTGAAATCGTTGGTTTACGTTAAACAATTCACATCTGAGACAATAGAACCATTGACATTATTCCATGTTGACCAAATATTTGAATATAATAAAAACTACAAAGTACAGAAATATTTTTCCCCTACGTGACCTTATCTATCTTGATCATTTTTGTTTTAAGTTTCTTCTACCATAGTTCTCCACCTTGTTTTTTATTTTATCACTTCTCTACAACACATAATCTATTGACTCGCTTACGTTTAAATGTACTATTCATGAGCAGCATTATAAATATACTGATATGCAACAGCTGCATTCCAGGTTGTCTTTTTTAGTTAAATCGATAAACTTTTAATTTAGCACTTTCTCCTCAGTATCCAGACTAACAGAAGTTTAAAACCATTGAAGAAGCAATCATCTGTCGTTCAATACTCTTGTTGTATTCGGTTTTTTGGTTTTCTAAGCCCAGTTGATTCTCGTACATAGTGGAAAAATACCAGTAAACGAGTCAAATGACTATCCAGTGTTTAAGTCACTTCAAAATGACTAGAGAAAACTTCTGGCTGGTGTAAGTAGTCTTCAATCACCCAATATATATCTCAGTTGTAAATATCATAAACTAGTCTGAGATATAAATTCCAAGAAGATGCAATATCAAACCCAATTAAACCGTTTTTAATAATGAAACAGTATCACAAACTTACATGTTAAAAGCCGTCTCAAATGCGACATACTACGATATGCCATGACTCCAGTTTCTGTAAGATTTAAATATTGAAAACACAAAACAGATAAGATTTCTAAAAACTTACACTAAAATAATCTTCCTCAACTTTTAGCTCTTAGACACATCTATAACAGTCGACAGGTAACTGATGTCATAAAAAGGAAAAACTTGTAGATAGAGAGGACATCAATCCTGAGATATACTCGATACAATTAGAGCTTCAGTTCAAAAAGTCGAACTGCAAGGGAAACAGGAAAGGCAAGAAATCATAACCGCCTAAGAATAATCTACGCACGATAAAATTTGACTGATGCCATCAACGGAATATTTGCAAAGCTACCGATGCAATGAAGTCAACGAAAGATGCCAGATATACTACTACATAGATGTTTCAGTAAATGTTTTAATGTGAATGCTATGATACAAGAATTTCTGAAGATTCCCGCAATAGAAGGGGATATACTTCATAGATTTTGCTATTGCGCTTTATAAGTTATTCGAGGTAACATGTGGCCTATATATCAACAAGGTTGATGTATAGGAAAGGTTATCATAATCACTACAAAAAACTATGTGCTCTTGATAGGAAGGGGGATAAATGGAAATCAACATTTTAAGTCATCAGGCACTAAAGTAGTTTTATACGTTCCTGAAAACTCTATGTAAGGGACTTATTTTTGTCAAATAAAGTATCTTCTTTATAGTTACAGGCCGATCTTCGCCTTCTGATTTTCGCAGCTAAGTGAAGTATAAGGTACTGAAGGAGAAAAGTCGGTATTCGCGTCCATTTGCCGTAACATTGTTCGTGTATTCATTATTATTCACTCGGTCACTTCAGTTCTGAGGAGTGAAAATACCGGCTTCTAATTAGGGATCTGGAAACTTTCAGTGGCTAGTGTATTATGGTAAAATGCTTGATGCATCCATTTCATACGAAACATGAACTACTTTGAAAGTCATGTGAGTGGATACTAATATCACCTGAGTATATGAATGGACCAATCGAAAGTGTTTCACTTGTTACAATAGTGTGATTGGTTGTTCCTGTCACTGTAATTGATATTACAATTCTTTTGGTTATCTTCTAAATACTGCTGAGTCCATACTACTGTTACCACATTACTGTAAAAACATTTATTATGGTATGACTGAGTATCATTAAACTGTTTTGGTGAACTACTTGTGAATTGTTTGACTGGACTTTTTGAATAGCTGGGAGCAAACGTATTACATTTACGACACTTCTTTCTTTTTGCGTGTTCGGAGTTTCAGATCCTAGTGAATAAGTAGGCGTGGATATCAAGTCATAATTCAATTTTGCAAACAACACAAGGGCTTCACATAGAGCAAATAATAAACAATCGCTACAGTAGAAGATAAGCCAGACAAGAAACGCTGGCCCCTTATAATGTGGGTTCAACAAAGAAAGGCAACAGATTTGGAAGTAATGTTTTCAAACTTCGAATGATTAGGTTAGGTTTATTATCACCTGCCATATGTCATACTTTTGCATTCACGGAAAAGACAACCCGGTTAGACCATAAGAGTAAGAAAACAATCTTGACTTATCTTCACCCATACAAAAAGTACTGAAACACTTGACTTCATTCTTCGTTGATTAAATGGTATATGTACACATATATTGATCATCGGGTACTATTCTTGATATTAATTCACTATTCTATAGATCAGACGCTCGGAATAGATGAACAAAGGGTGACCGCCTCGATTTTGATGCCTGGGAAATATAACAACCCAACAAGAGATGAAGAATAGGTGGTATTTATCTCCATATTTTGAAGAATACGATGGTTATGTTTACTTTCTTCACAAGGTTTATACATTTACTAATTTTCAAGTAAAGTTTCACTTGGGACCTCACACCTTGCAGATGTCTTAGCATTTCAAAAATTTATTACATTGTTGAAACATCTATAAAAAGCTTGACCTCAATGTGAAACCCAACAGTTTAGTGTGAAACACAAGTGGAATCGAAAAAGATTGCTTAGGAATGAGTAACAATAGCAAGATGTCAGAGTGAACCAGAAAACCATGTTTAGCTAGCAAACAAAAATAATTTGAATATATTTAGTAGTCGTGGATAGAAGGTTAAGGCACAAGCCGTAAAAATAACCATCTTCAGACGGCAGTATAGAGCAGGTTGAATGATATACTGAATATTGGTTGAGAATACGAATGATGCAAATATTATTTAACGAAATTTTTCATAAAGGACTTACCTAACCATCGGAAATAATCCAAGGTAATCCCAACAACAGTATGAACTTCAGTTATATAAGGTGCTAATTCATAAGAAATGCTCTTCGAGGGTAAACGTTGTATACGATCTCGTACTCGACTAATTGTAGACACAATTTCTGCGTAATCTGAAAGCTTTTTGTTCCACTCAGCTGCTTTCTAAAAGTCAAAAAGATAAGTAGTAAGTACATGCTAAGCATAAAAGAGGGAATGACAACTAGTTTGAATGAATTCAGTATAAACTGAACTCCTCTTTAATAATAGAAATCAAACAGATAAACAAGTTATAAAATGAGCTATACACTAACATGATATCTGATAACAGAATTTATACTTGTGGTACACTTGATAAGTCCACGTTTCTTTCAGGGTTTAACTTGTATTACTTCATGCTTAAATAACATCATGGTAGCTTCTGAAAGCATTTAACGACAATCAAAAAAGCTATATCACGTATAAAACATGGAATGATGGTGCAAATTATTAGCTATTCTATACAGAATAAATAACCTTTAGCAATATGACAACAGCAATAAGCCTTTAAGTGCAACTCAAATACCACAACTCCAACTATAGGTTTTATTGTACACAATACTAGACATCAATGAATGGATGAAAATTTGATCAGTAACCAGGTAACCCCCAAGTACAGTTTAAAACCCATAAAAAAAAAAGTCGCTAAGTTTACTAAATTGAAGCAAAATTCAAATAAAATCACTGTATTGTTTATTCGATCAGAAACAACTAGTCAGTCTATGTACCCATTAATAGTTTTTATAACAAATTATTTAAAATATTAAATTATCATTTTTTCCTATATCTCAAGTATTATGCTGTAAACCAGTTTATTAATGTTAAATTAAAGTAAATCTGAAGGACAAGATAAATGAGTGATAACTAATGGACTTTCGAAAGGCATTTGGTAGAACCGATTACATTTCAAAAAATGCAAAGTACAATACTACTCACTTTGATTTCATGCTTAAGTGAAGCATACAAAAGCCCTATGAAGATACAACTAAGCTTGTATTCAGACACACTGTTCAATTTTCCCGTTACTATCAAAACTAAGAGATAATCTGTACACTAGATTAGATAGTGCGTACTCGAAAGCAATAATCAGAAAGCTGGTGATTATTTTAGGCACATAAATCGAAATGCACTCAGCAATCTTGTGCACATTCTTGTAGTAGACCAGACCCTATTGTGTGGGAGCTGATACCACCTGAATGCCCAAACCTCGGTAGGCGGGCGGAGCTCGAACTCGAGATCCATGGTTTGAAAGTCCATAAGTCCGTAAACCAGTAAGCCATAGCTCCACAAACTTATGGTCTAAACGTTATTGTCAACTATTTTTGATCATGTTACCAAATACCATGTTGATATAAATGTGCAACCTAGCTTACTGACAACACTAATGATAGAAAACAATCCACTAACAACAAAAATAACTGAAGTCTGGAATTCTTTACCACTCGGTGACTGGTCAATATACTGAAATGGTGGGGAATATTTGTAGTTTAGGAGGATGATCTCTCCGTGACAGACACTGACAACCAACTTCATATTAAATTTGGTGGTGATGATTTCGTCTAGAAAGACAATGAAAGCTTCACAGTTAAACCATCCAGCTCACCGAACACAATGCAGCCAAGGTCAATATATCTAGTAACCCTGATCTTTGAAAAGAAAGGTACAGAAAGTGTGTTGACTGTGCCAAAAAAATATCAGAAAAAAAAGACAAACTAAGTCCTATTTCAGTCATATAAACTAAATCTTTGGCGACAAAATTGTCATAGACCTCAGAAATCAAAATTAGGAAGTGACTACAATCATAAAGTTACTACTATTTCACTTTTAATTTCTATAAAAGAAAAATCAAGTTATTATTTTGACATTTATACTTCCTAATGAATGTAAAACAAAAATAACAGTAGTTAAAACAATCTTATTTTCTTGAACATTCAATGGGAGATACAAATATCAACACAATAATGAGTTTCATTAACCCAATGTATGTCTAAATCTTTCCAAACCACTAAATCACAAAGTGGTATCTACAAAAATGAAGTTGGCTTTTATTTTGATTGTTGTTACTACCATAAACAAATATTAATGTACTATTCAAAATTATTGCAAACCATAGGGAAATTTAAGTAACGTCTAAATATCTCTCTTATCTGTTATGCTTATCAGGAAGCTTTAAAGAATTGATCATACCTCAAGATCAGAAGGATTGGGTCCACAAGCATAAGAATATTCGCGTAACCAATGACCCAATTCAAGGAGTCGCATAGCAGTAGGTCCATGAGAGAAAGGTAAGTAGAATAAATCTGCAAACAATTCCAAATCCTCCAAAGTAACAGCAACTGAATTCATATCACCTAAAAACAGAAAATCCACTTTATGATTATGTACGGTAAAAATGAATAGATTTGAAACTATACTGCTAATAATAATCATAATCATAATCATAATAATAATAATAATAATAATAATGAAAAAAGTATGGAATTAGTTATTGCCTGAAAACCAGCACGACATGAGCACTAAGGTATGCATTACACACACAATATAATTACATGATGGAAAAGACAGAAAAAGGTAGCATAAGGAAAGCAAAAACCAGTAATCAGACGATCGGTTTCATAAGATACTATAAAAACTTACTTCATTACATTTGTTCCTTGTCAGAAACATAGGACACAAGAAAACTATATGATTACAACTGGTTTCGATTCTCAGTCAAATAGAACATTATTCCACGCCACTGAGTTAAATGCTCTCTCGGCCCCCACCAAGTGAGTCATGATATGCCAACAATACAACTATATATTTATCTTACTTCGTACACCAACCACTCCTCCATTCTTTCTAACCATTCTCACACCAAACAAACGATTAACAACAAGAAAGCCTCTGGGAAAACATTAGCAACACACGTTCAAGTAACTGAAACTGGTGTTTTAAGAGACTTCACTTAATGAATGATCATATCTATCATGTCCAAAACTGCACAACCATACCTTAGAATTATTTCTATTGACTTCACAGGATGCAAGCAGTCTTATGAAGATAAAGGTGACCAAACATATACCTTCTTTCGACATCCTCAGCTGGAATAAATTAGGTTTTACAGGCGTAAAGCAGAACTATCCCAATGAATCGTAATATTAACTGACCGTTACAACCAAGCCAAAATCACAACAATGGCAAAGGTGACTCAGACTGGTGTATAACGTTATTACTTTCGATACACAATTAGAAATAGCATGTCACACATCCACCAGTGTTCACACAAATACCCATGTACACAAACTTCGCGGCTACTCCAAATAGTTCACTATCAAGGGTGAGCGGAGGTATAGGCTCCTGTCAATATTATAAAACTACTTTGCACTTTGTCGGTGCAAAGTACATACCACACTTGCGGACACTGATAGCTAACTGAGTTAGTGCGATTTCAGCACCCCATGTGATATCGCACAGTAAGACAATATCTCCCACACACTCAAAGTCCACATGGTAGCAGATCAGCACCACCACTACACACCTCATTTCAAAGCTGTCTCCAGGATAGATTGGTAGCCATAATCGAACGTGTTTATGCATTTCCATCAGTAGAATAACTTGTCCTAGTAAACCTATAACGCTTTAAACAATTGCACTAAGAAATGAGTACAGTAACTTCAATCAAAGATTTATCTGTGAGCAGATACCATGGGACGAAGTAGAATGAAAAAACCAGTTTATCATAATACTAAGATAATCGGGCTGTAATAATAGTACGAGGATGAACAATATTAACATCTAGATTTTACTGCAAGATAATTGAATACTTTACTTCAGATGTTATATTCTACCTTATGCATAAAATAAATAATCCATCACGGTATGCTGATAGAGTTCCCACTTACTCATTTCAACTGAAATTGTAATTAATAATCACACTGAAAGTTAACAGCATAAATAGTAAAAATGACGAGGAATGGTAACGGTGAAAAGAGTGTAACTATATAAGAATACGAAAGTACTCGTAACATAACTACAAAATTTAAAGTTCGACTTAGATTTTCCTGTTTTTCTTGCCCATGAATATATCAAGCAAAAGTTTTGAAGTCAAAAACTACTTGAATTTACTTAGCGGTCAAAAAATGAACGATCTTGCCGGAAAAACTTGTGCGCATGGGATGGGATGTGATGGAGGGTTATTAGTTTCCATTAAACATTGAATCCTAGCTAATAAAATATACAGAAAGATGTAGAACGCTTAATGCACTAATTTAAGCTGTTTTATACAGGTAAATACAGAACGGTGATACTCAATGGTGGATTCCCCCCAAATGCATAATGAAAGACAATAAGAGAGAGATAAACTCAAACTCAGGCATAATCTGATAAGGTTTTACTGCTCATATTCTGGGAATAATTATAGTTTAATAGGCTGCAAAGCAAAAAGTGTTTTATAACTATTGAACAAATCTACAGTTCACAGAAATACCAAGACTATGAGGAAACAATCTAACCTGGTAAACAACTAGAAAAATCTTGAGTTCTACATACATTTTACAGAAGTGACGAGCAAAGTGGGAAAGAAATACAAATCGAACTTTCGATTCAAATTCAAAAGATAACCTTTCGAAAAATCCATCCTGAAAGTCTGATAACAGTAATATTCAGGAGAAACAACCCATCACGAAGGGAAGTGGTTACGCAAACAAGCTTTTAGCTTCGGTAACACAATTATTCAATACTTCTTTGTTCATATGGATTTTAACGATGAATGATACCCAGACAAATAAGGTAAAAGGCTTAAGATTTGATTCAGGAGACTGAATCCCGTTTGACAATAAACAGCCAACAACCGTTGGGGTACCTATTAGATAAGTATTGACTTGCTTCAGATGAATATCTCCTGTAAGTGTCACGTTGAAGTGATGAATATGGGAATGTTCTGATATACATAGTAATTGTCGACCTCAAATAGCGCATTTAGTTTTATGCTGCTTTCCGTCTAGTAATATGCACATTAAGTACCAAGTTTGTGTTGAACATTAGTGAAAATGTACACACAGATACACTGTATGAGCTTCACTGTACAATATACAATGGTTTAATTGAACTGCTTATGAATATTTTCTAGATTAACATTTCTGATAGGCTATTATATAGCCATTATAAAATGATATATCTAACTGGAATCTAAATACTACCTACATATAATTCACTGAACATTTTGAAAACTCTACCCGGAATATTATGGGTGTTGGACTCAATTTTCGATGTGAACGTTTTCATCACACCACAGACTACTTAGGAATAAAAGTCGATATGCAACTCACTAATCACATGCACGTTCACGTAGTCGGCAATCAGCCACACCTATTATACCAGGACTGATGATACCAACAGGTTGGCCCAGTCTTGGCTGGTGGAACGGAGTCTAAACCCATGACCCACTGCTTGAAAGTTGAATGTATAGGCCGATGAGGCACAGCTCAAATGATTTGTATAAATGGGTGAAATACCTTAAAATAATAAAATAGCCTGTCGTTTTTCGACATCATACGCATACACCTATTTCAATAACGTTTCACTTCGTTTTTGTGGACCATATTTGATTTATATACAACAATAGGAATAGAAGAATTGCAATATACCACTAACAAAATAATGTATATTAGTAATGAAGCAAATTTGTAATGCATATCAAGAGAATTTTCTAGATACTCATTTTAGCTATTAATAAATGGTAGTCAGTTATGAAGCAGGTAAGAAACTATTTAAAATACTTTCAGTCCATCCTGATGCCACAATGATTACAACAATGTAAGTACAAAGATAAAGCGTAAACACTACAGACCCCTTAGATTATGATAGGATATTTCCTGTGCAGTAACAGTTTAACCACTGGAATCATACTTCAAAAAGTGAAATATTGTATTTCAAAAAATGGGGATTGATGAAACGTTGACAGAAATGTACACTAGCCAAAAATTCTCATATTTGCAATGACAGTTGTTCACTAACTAACCTGAATTCAATGTTTCGGAAGAAGTACTATCAGAACTCATGACGACATTGGAAGGAGGAGATTCAATCTGAAAAGGAAATAAAGTCAATTAAAGCTTTAAATGGAAAAGTAGTATAGCGAAAAAAATCACTGTAGAACCTACCAGACAAGTGCATTGGCTCAAGTTGTCGCAGCACTTCACAGAAGTACACAAAGAACAGGTAGATGTGTGAGATCAGAGTAGACAAAGTCACATGAGAGAATAAACGACATGAAGATAACTGCTAGTATAATTATTCAAACTTTAGAAGATATCAAGGAATGAATACGACTGCAACAACAGTTGAACAGTCACCAACAGTCCTTAATCACTGATTCCTTTCGTCTCGAGGACGCCAACCAAGCAGTCGACATCTTTCAATATGACTCAGACCAACAGATAGTGACTTTATCGACTGGTGTCACGTTTAAGTCTGGTCACTTCAACTCCTCTTCCAACTTAATCCGACTTTCCTAAAATGGCACAACTTGCCTACTTGAGCGTTAAAGTCACCTGCCATTATGACTACATCTGAACGTTTTGCATTCTTCAGAAAAGTTGACAGCTTCTTATAGAGTTCATTTTTTTCATAAACCGAACTACTGTCGGTGGGTGGGTAGGTAGAGATTACGAATAGGTATCGGTTGGTATCACGATCCTTCCTAGTCCTTACAGATCTATTCGGTCAAACAGCACATAGACGGCTGTTTACTGGAAACTAGTCAAGGAGAGCACTTTCTGCTCTGTGACTAAATGCTATGCCTACGTCAATCAGTCCACGGGAGCTGGCTACTGCGCTTCCAGATACTCTCAAAGTGAATTTTGGCTCACTACTGTGACCAGGTGAGGTCAATTTAATAACCTCACTCGAGTCCTGTATACGTGTCTCAGAGACTAAGCATATATATCCATGACTAGAGATTCCAGAGTTCTGATGAGCTATGCTTTCTATCCGACTTGGTATAGAGTTTGGTCATTGAAATCGATGACGGGGTCTTAGCTTAGAAGACTTATAATGAGGTTTTGATGGCTTTGTTCGTTGGCAATGGTCCCAGGATGAGAGGTTTTGGAAGGTGTAGGGGGTTTAATATTAGCATCAGGAGGTGAAGGTAGTGGAGGAGACAGAGTTGAGGTGGATAGGTTAGCTTTGATTGGGTCTTGTGTACTACTGGAAGCGTGTGGGTGGTTAACATTTACAGGTTGCCCACACTGTGGAAGGCTATTTCTTCGTTAGGTACCTGAAAGACAAAAATACTTGTGACCACAGAGCCCATGGGACATTTGTTTGAGGCCTGTCACACACGGCTTTTTGTGGGATGTTGAGTTTGGGTTTGGATGTCCTAGCACAGGACAGACAAAACGCATACCGCCGGCACCGGAAGACCGTGGGGTACGGTGGAGTGTGTTATTTTTGGGCCCGACCTTTTGTAACCGCCCCCCCCCCACCGTTGTGTTGCGAAGACAGCACCAGTGTGGCACTGCTGGTCATCCAAGGGAAACGCCTTACCACCGTCATATCCCAGCCAGCCAGCAGTAGTACGACTTTTCCCTCAGACCCCCATCACAGTGTAGTGATTTACTCTAAAACGGTGACTGCTCTTTGTCTCACAATAATCCAACAAACCTTTCTGACATGGTAGGACCTTGGGTCACTGTGATATGCAAGCCCGACCACAACGTCAAGGCAGTAGCTATCGGTGATGCTAATAGGCATACACCCATATAACCATCAAGTTATGGACACAACACAAAGTGATTTGTTAGTGAGAAGAAAACTCCGGTTATCCGAATTCAACAGAAATTCATATCAGACCAGGTGATCAAACCCATAATCCATACTTGTCAATCATCTTTATTGTCAGCATAAAACTGTAAGGTAGTTGAAAAAACTGAAAAACTTCACACAGTACACACAATGGGAAATATAAAATACCAATATTTAAATTTATAAAGTTATTTCAAGGAAGAAAGAACTAGGTAATTTGAAGCTTATCTTCTTTTCTGATTTACCTGCATAGCAGCTTCATTGTGACCGATGGTTTCTAGATTATCAGTATCCATAGGTGTGGGAGTCCCAATAGCTGTACTGGCTTTTGAAGCACTAACCATTGTTTGTTGATCCTTTAAACAATAGTTGAAAATATATAACTGACCGAAAGTAAATGTTACTAAAACATCAATGTCAAGTAGAGTTATAAAGTAGATAGTCATCAGTAACGCAGGTAATATGAGCCAACAGTCAAGTGATGTATTTGAAGAATTACTATTATGTTTGAAGTACAATATCAATAAATTCTTACGCAAAAGTAAAACGTAGTAACTATGTGTTTCTTTTGTATGGAAGCCGTTACCACATAACTGTCCAACTCTCAGTGAATGACTGGGGTTTAAGTTCCTGACACACTGGTTGAATGGGTTTTATGATAAACTAATTGTTCAGATGGTATTTTATGCAATCTGTTCACAGACATCGGTTAACAGAAGACTGAATTATCAACCAGAAAGGTCTCTCAAATTGCTGAAAGTAGAATTTATTAGCGAATAACAACGATTTCGTTGAAAAAAGGTTACTATGAGGAGTCAAACACAGCTTTACATATTGACGAAAAATTGCACTATCACCTTCCTGTCCTAATCGAGATTTTGCTAAATCAGCACTAGATATGATACTTAAGACAAATACTTCAATCTTAGGATTCATCAAAGTTGTTGCACTTAAACGGAGAACTTGGACACTTTCCATACATTAATTACGTTGAAAACGAGTTCGATATTTGTTTTCATTCAAATGCTGAACACCAGAATATCTGCTCGTATAAACTTTCCATAGATTATTTTGAACATTCTAAAAGCTTGTTAGTTTTTATATGAGGTGAGTAACGAACTGTGCTGATGCATTACTATCATAATTTCTATATTTTCCTGTTCAACGAAGACTGGCATCTAATTACGTAGGTAGATGGTTCATAAGGCTAACATTTTGCCCTTTTGCCCTAAATATGTGAAAAGACACTACAAATATATCGAACAAGAAGATGCATTTTACATAAGGGTACTAGTTATTTCGCAGTCACACTGTCGTCGAAGTGTCCATACCTATTCCTCGATAGATTTCTTACAATATATACGTCGGCGTATTTATTCCTTCGTCACGTTTCCTCTCTTTTAGATTCCTCCACCACTGAAGATGTCATCATATGTTTTTCGTTGTCTCCGTTTCTGTGTCTTGATGTGAAGTGCACAGTCTCTAGCTGATATGAAGTTATACCAAGTCCTACAGCAATAGCCTCCTTGTGATCAGGTTTCTCTACTGAAGCTTTCAGTTGCAACGCGATCTAAATTGTCTTGATTTCAATCTTCACTTTGAAGGAGGTATTCGTCAGTCAGTGCACTTGTGACGTGATTTGCTTTTGTCAAGATTATCAGAAAAGTCTTGCGCGATGGAGTTTGATAGCTACAAAGCAGTTGTGATTGCTGATTTTTTGTTGTGAAACCTAAGATCTCCATTTTCGTTAGGATAGCCGATGGTTATTTGAATTTTACTTTGACATCAATATTCTTTCTCTTCTGGTGTGTAGAATGTCACTCAATTAGTAATACTGTGTCACTGCTATATGAAACGAAAAACTAGTGTAGATTACCACTGTCTAAATTCTAGTCTCATATTATTAAGCCTACCTAAAGTAGCAGCAGCACAATTAACTTTCAGACAATTCTGTTAAACCATTCAAAATGTATGTTTGCACTAACCTGAAGCATCAATGAGAGCCAATCTTTCAAAGCTATATGAAGAGCTTCACGAGGTCTATATATAGAACTACGTGAAAATTTCCGATTTGTAGAAATATCCTGATTCATGGATGATTGTTGATTAACACCATCCAACTTCTGATCATCAGTACTATCATCAATCATTTCATTGTCGTCAGAGGCATTAGACTCGAGTTCATCATTTGTACCCGGCATTTCTGTATCCGCTGACTGCATCAGATGTCTACCACCAGCCTGTCTGGATAAGAAGGCATAAAATGAGTTATTTCAATATAATTTACTTTAGATATAGGAGAATTTTATCAGTTACCTTAAGAAATTTACCAACTTGAAGAGGAAAATAATGAGGCTAGTAATCAATGTTATAAGCAATATGTCTATGTTACACTTTAGTTTCCTTTGATCTCTACTTCGATACAAAATTAGTAAGGAACGGTTATTGACTATGACTAAGAAATACATATAACAGTGTACAGACCCAATGCTGAATGATTTTACTAACCTTGATCACAGAGTTGTGATCCACTAATATGCTAATCTAAAATAAATAACTTACAGTTCAAGAAAGAATATTCAGCATAAAATCATGAGTGATTTCCCAGAATAACAAAATAACAGTGGCAATATAAAAACTAATGAACTAGATTGCATAACTTTTGTTTTGTGAAAGCTAACTATGCTAATCTACTGTTTAAATCAGAAGTTGATAAAAATGAGCTCAAATAAAAGAAAGGACAAATGAGTTAGTTGCATGGACGAACGAACAAACGAACGAAAAGAAACGCGTTAAGTCACCTTGTGCACATCCGTGCAGTAGGCAGCGAGCCATACCTATTAGGTGGGAGTTAGCGATACTACCTAACTGCCCAAACCTCGGTAGATGGAACGGGGTTAAAGCTCATCATGACCCAATGGTTGATAGTCATCTTCCTAAACCAATGAGCCACAACTGCAGTGAATTTTTCCAACCTATAAGTTACATAACAGTGCGAAAAGTTCTGATGGCAAGTAACAGCTTGATAGAATAATCACTCCAGAGTTTGACAAACTCTGTATCAAAAAGTTATGAGAATGGATGTAATTTTTTTTAAAGGCTATTTCGCGATCTTCGCTAAACTTTGTGAAAATATACCCACTTCATCATACTTTTATTTCTACATTTGTTTTTTTGAATAGAACAAAAGTCAATGAGGATATTCGAAGCATAAGACGTGAGTTTAATGTACACAAAATTACATAATGATACAACCACTTAATAACTGGAACATTTGTTCACATGCATTAATATCATTACGTGTATTTTGACCATGAAAACTTCTTGATTAATTTGCATACATACACCTGGAAATAATAAGTAGATAGGTTGGTTTTTGAAAAAATGTATAGGATTCTACAGCGAATAAGAGGTGCATTGATAATGAATTTTATCTTTAATTAATAATCACAAAATTCTAGTAAACAGAACTAGACTACAAATGAAAGAAATTGAAATTTCGTATTCTGCAGACTTACTTATATTGTGTGATTGCAACAGATGAGAACAAATAGTAATGGAAAGTAAATGAAAAAGTCATTGACCATAAGGTGTAAAGAAACAGTATGATGTACCTGACATACAACAGAATCGAATGGATTAGGAGTGTGGCTTACAAGAATTTTAAATGAGTTACACATACTTGTATCCATAATTATTCAATCTTATGAACATTCACGAGTATTTAATCGTACTCTACTAAAAACACTTCCTAGATAGTTCGAGAATTTACCTCCAATTAAACATGACTTCAAATGGAAAATTACATGCCACATACAACGAATTGATATGGGTAATTAGAGGTAACACACTAGTCAACAGCTATCAGTCAAATTAAAAAAGATTTATACTACTGATAAACAATCCGCTGGTTTAGGGCTAAGTTCTATAGTGATCTAGCCCAACTTATGTGACAAAGGTAACCAAATTGTTCAAAGCTATCTCAACTCTGAACAGCTACTTGGGTGGATTAGTAATACATAGAATAAAGGTGAATAACCGTGTAATTTATCATGAGGATAACTCAGTTAGGTGCAAAGTTTCAAACTTTTATGCAGGTTTGACTGCAGAACCAGAATGTTTCGGTAAAAAAAGTGGAATTCGTAAACTGACTTTTGTTGATCCCACTAAGAATTTTAACTTTCATGAACACATGACTCAATCATCGTCAAATTTAAAAGAAAAGTAATAATGATTAAAACAACTAAAATTTACCTAGACCACTGTGCAAGAGTATGTAGTGCCACATAGTTTGCTTCGAATTCACAATTTGGATTGGTCAAAACTCCTCTAAGCAAACCTTTCCGACGTAAGGCTAAAGGTCGGCCACTGTACGGCCCTATGAATACTCGACGTTGATCGTAATCATTGGCGTGCAGATTGTCCCACAAAACAATAGGATGTTGTAGCAAAGCAGATAATTCTTGTAGCTCCTTAGTCAAAATTCGTTTAGATACCACAAGTGGACCAGTCCAAATCACAGCAATACCTGAAAGCAATTTTTAAAGATAGCTATAATACAGAAAATTTACATCCAAAAACCTACCATCTATTAACATGCATGTCTAGTCCTCGTATGTGATATTAGTTTAAGCTATTCACGTTTTCAAAAAAACCATAAAATTACAATCTACAAAAAATGCGTAGTAGTTTGATTCTCAGATGACCACAGAAACCTCTTCGCATTCATGAACGATATATGATGGCAGTTACTAACAGATAGCTAAAATGAGCTCAAACCAGGAACCAGTAAAGGGTAAATGGAAATAAGCGAAATCAGACTGTTGTATGACGATTGTATTGAGACTACCACCCTAGAATATTTAAATTAGCCAATATGCTCTGCTTTGGAATTCCATATGCTCCAACAGAAACAACTAACTCATTGTATTGATTGTCGACAAATAAAGACAACTACACGCTTCTAGTGTTGCATCCATAATCAAGTAAAACGCTTGAGATTTTCTTAAAATGTCGCGAACACATACATCACTGGGAGAAACAATCAGAGAAAGCCTTCAAGAAGGCTACAAATATTTATTTTCATAAGTAAGTTTGGGATGCTGCAAAGAAATGCATGCGCTGAAACTGACGATGTATTTTGTTAAGAATTACAACCAACCTCAGCTGCTGTTTGGATGTGATGACTTGGCTTTCTTATTGCAATGACCCATTCAAACCATACTAAGTTTTTTTAAGGTGCTACTATGCTATGGACAACGATAAAACTAAAAGTAGCTAACTTCATCTGAATTATTTCAGAGTAAAAATATTGCAAGACAATGAGAATAATAGACAAAGTCATACAGATAGTTGTAACGGGTGGAATAGCAGTAAAATATTTTCTAAGAACAAAGAGTATTGGAAGCCGATACTCCTTTCCATTTATTCCTCGAACACGTGACCACAGATAATGGTTGGCTCGTTGACTATAATCGGGAAGGCTCCAACGAGATCAAGCAGGCGATTAGATTAGCTTAGATCAGATTAGATGCGCTGGCTCTGTTTTGATGTGACTATCAAGAATTTTTTTCAACCTTTCTCTGACATCGTGCCAAAATGTGTTGAGGTAGGTAATTTGAGTGTGTATGTGTTTGCATCATTTTTCTCAAGCACCTTAATTAGTGAAATTCAAGACGTCCTCAAATGATCTCCTTTTTGTGAGTAGTAAGGTGTACTCAACTTCCAGATTGTTCAATCAGTGGTTTAGTTGTGCATGAGCCATGACGTGAATGAAACAGTCATCAACTACCAGTAGCCTTTACTAAATGATCAAGTTTCATAGCTTTTATTATTGAGGTACCAAAACTGTGCACACCACTGAATCCTTATTAGGCATTTCGTGATCTTGTCGTCCTTATAAGTAGTGAAACCTAGCAACAATCACTGAAATTATCATTTGCAAGTCAAAACAATGAGATGAGATTTCTAGGATATTATCAATGAGAAATTAAGTCAAAACCCACTAAATAACCTTGTGCACACTCGTACAGTAGACAATGAGCTACACCTGTTGCGACGGCTAGTGGTACTACCTGGCTTCCCAAACCTCGGTAGACGGAGCGGTTTTCGAACCCGCAACCGACTGGTTGAAAGTGAACTCTGAGCCAATGAGTAACAACTCCACAACTAGCAATGAGATAGCTACATAAATTTATAGTGTTATGAGAAGGTGAAGATTATCTGAAAGTGGTTTATTGAAACTATAAATTTCGAACTATCTGATTACACATGGCCTTGTCGAACTATTTGCATGAAAATTTACGGGATGGTCAATTAACTGAATGGTAAACATGAGACCAGGAATAGCAGAGAAAAACAAAATCTAGATCACACGACTTTTGGTACGAAAATTAAAATCAGTAACGCTAAAGGCTGTTTCCATTTCTACCCTGTAGGGTGTATGGGAGTAGATGATGGACGTTTGTCGCCAAAACTTAACGCATCTGTTGAGGTTATTTGTTTCTGAAGCCATTTAGGTTCATGTTCAACCATCCTTAACTGCATATGATGCTTACTCCTCCCTATGTATTTGTCTACATATGCAAGTTGACTGATGTGATAATATATCGCTTCTCAGATAATCTTTGTCTTCTCATTACGCCGTTTAGAATCTATTAAAGGGACAAACAGCTTTAAATAGTTATGTAAAATTGGAGAGGGTTGACATTTTTGTTAAGAATCACTCAAAGCAGTCACTTCAAAAGAGAATCCATCGTAAGTACTGATAAGAATATGTGCTTGAATAAAGAGCCCTACGGTTAAGGAATATAGGTAATGTCGGGTTTAAGAAAAAGTCAATTAAGTATATCACGAAGGGGTATACCACGACAACACAGAGGAAAAGGTAAACACATTGAGAACTCAATAATATGGGATGCGATGATAAACTTTGTTTTATATGCCCTTGAGTTACACAGAATTATTTGAAAACATACGAACGTTGTTTGCATCATAACATACTTTGGCTTTCCAAAAATAATTCTTCAGTAGTATATGGTGAAAATAATTGGTTCCATTGTAAATAATACAGAATCAAATACACAAAATAATATTAATAAATGGAGCCGGAGCACAAGCATTTATGTTATCTCACCATTATATATACAGAAAGACGCTTCATTTTATGTAAATGTATCGTCATTACTCGCGGGCTTGATTCAATTGATAGTTTTACGAGTTACTATGTTTTCAATAATGGTATAGCTGGCTAAAATACTCTCAAGGTTCAAAGACGTGCTGTGTATCATAGAAAGCTACTAAGTATGCTGACTGCAATAAGAGGTTTACTGTTATAGGAAAACGAAGGTTGAAGCATATCAATCAACAAGATAATGCATCCAAATATAAAAAAACAAAATATTACCTGGTGCTAAACAAGAAGCAACTGTTGCTAAATATTCTGATTTGTTAATATTAGGCACAGCTAGACTTGCACTGTACTCAGTTGGACAAAACAAGAACACATCTGGACATCCTAAATGGTTGTAAATTTCGTTTGCGAACATAACTTGGGCACGAGCCGACGAATTAAATACCTCTCGATCTGCAGGGCACAAGCGTGGTTCAATATCATCAAAAAGAAGAGCAAATGATCGACAACCAAGTTTTGAAACCTAAGATTCAAAACATTAACGTGGGCTATTAAAATGTTGCTAGGACTGATGTGCTAACCATGAACGTCTCATTAACAACAAAATGACAAATCTAAGTGGATTGACATCATGGGTAATCTACAATATACAAAGCGAGAAATGGAATCTATCGATAAATTATGCAGTTAGCTTCAATGCTAACTAAAAGTGAAGTGAATAAAGGATTGGGTGTGGTTAGTTAAACACGGAACGAATAAATCATGAGCAACTGATCAAATCACTACTCTCCTTGTGCTTCAATCCACAAGTATTGTTCAGTTGCATGGGATCTAAAAGTCTGTACAAAGTAGAACTTAATGCAAAGGTTAAAGTTATCATCCTTCAACAACGAAGAAAATCTACGAAAGGAGGAAAGATATCAAATAAATCAGAAAGATACGAATGGGTAGACGAAAACGTGTGAATGGTGTATGTTGGTTGGAGATAATCGGCATGAAGTCCCGCTTGACCTAATTTTCGTGCTTGTTGGAACTCATCAGCAGGGTGTATCTGAAAACTCGAGGAAACTGACATCTACTGTAAGATTTGAACCTGAGTCACTCAGTGCTGAAGTCAGAAACTTTGCCACTGAGCTATTCCGACTGCGATTGACCTCCTGTATGACTAAAACTAAATAAACTGATTGATCACTGGAGTAACCAACTTTGTGTTGTTTAGTTTTGAATGCTGACAGAATTCTATCGATCACTTTGCATCTGACCAGAAAAATATCACCTTGCTGATAAATGCCAATAAGCACGAAATCTAGGTCTAGGGGTTCCTGCTAGTTGTCTCCAATCAACTAAAACCTATCAAAGTGCATGGCGACAGAGAATCTCCTAGCCAAGTAGCTGCATAAAAAATAATCGAGAAAATTCGGCCATCACTTAAAACCACACAACGTGAAATTGGCCATTCTTCAGAGAGAAATCAATGCATGTATGAATTGTTTCCGAAATGAAATGGAAAACAAACATAACGCGCATTTTTGACACTAAAGTACAATTTATAATATATGATTTGGTCTTATATCATCTTACAGATACTTACTCGGAAGCCCGACGCTATAACCAATTTTACGCGATGAAAGTACCTTTTCAGAATCCCCCTACTATCTTGTGACAAAGTACTCATATATATATATATATATATATATATATATATATATATATATATATATATATATTAGGAGGGTGCATACTTGACTTCGCGGATAATTTAGTACCAATTGGCACTGACTTCACAACATTTTCAAGCTCTCCTGATATATTAAGGTATCGCCCAACTTAAAGTAACCAACTATGAAACCACTACTAACCATTTATCTCCCGAGGCACAGAAAGAACACCTGATTAGTAATCAAGCTACTCATGAATAAATACGACTTTCCTTCTTGCCAATTACAATTAGGTAATAGTAATAGTAATAGCATTCCGGTTCACGGGTGCACGTCGGGTTTTCACGAAAGACAGCAGTAATTACTTAGTATATAACTTATTTTGGCGTTTGGAGAATAGTGACCTAATTTCATGGACTTATGCTTGTAGTTTCATTACAACACTCTACTCACATTCACTATTGTCGAATGCCAAAAGTGTCTCTTAAAAACCGTATGACTAACTTCAAGCAGATGTCCATTGCGTTCAGCATATCGGTAAAGTCATCTTTATCAGTTCACTTGTCTGCTACCTCAAGTAGAGGTAACCCTCAACGGTACAGGCAAATGGGAGGCGTCAGTTGCTTTCATACTTATCGTCACCAACTTCCTACTTTGTATCCTGTCAGAATCTTCACCTAACAGGATTGTCACCTATGAACTGTAGGTGTATTAGGGATTCTTCTGTGATAGAATCGATCCCTGTGAAGTTAGATGACGAGGAAGACATCCATAAAAATGTCTAGGATAAAGTTGAGTAAGAATGGAAAGAGTGGATATTTCTGACGAACACCGTTCAATGTACGCAACTCATGTGATAACTCACCATAGACTCTAACACACCCACACATATTTAAGTACACAGTTTTTAACAGTGATGTACTTACTCCGTACTCATTCGTGAGACACAGACAAAGTGTATCGATCGACGGAGATCGATGCTTTCATCAGGTCGAGAAATGAAGTCAATGTCAGGTTTCAATTAGCGTGCCTGTGTTCCAGAAACCGGAGGATTGTAAGTAGTTAATCAGCACAGTCACGACTAGGTCTGAAGTCTTTCGAGTTCACCGTTCCCGAGCTCCAATCGGAAGTCTGATGATTATAAAACCAACAATCTTAGAAACTTTGTTCATGAGGCTGATTACCCTGTGGTCATTACAAGCGGACTTTTCGCTTTCCTATAAGACTGACAGTTAGGTATAAAGACCAGTCTGAGAGGCGATTATATCTGACTAGCGGCTGGAGACCAATTGAACTGTTCCCCGAAGTGTTCCACTCATCCCTGAAGTCATCTCACCTGCAACTGCAGAATACACCTATCCATCTTCGTTACAGTCTCACTAACCACTGACCTCTTGGCCTCAGTTTCCTTGGTAAGTTTAAATAACTGTCTAATGTTGCCCATTGCAGCTGCTTTTTCCAACTCTTTAATCCTCGCTCCCCACCCCTATTCGCAGTTATTGCATAAACTTTTGTCCGTTTATATTTGAGCTGCTTCCGCTTCTCATCGATTTCCATGACAGCCTCAGCGTTTACCAATTGGACTCGACTTTAGTCACCTGGTATTTGACTGGACGACTCAGTAGGGACTAAAAAGGATAGTGACACACTGATGTTTATGGTAACCCCTACTTGCGCATTCAGAATGCAGTTTAGCAACGAAAGACAAGATTTCCCTAGGCCATTGTAACAGGAGATTTTAATGCGTAAGTGCGAAGGCCGAGTAAAAGAAGGGTTGTCCAGTTTACCTGACAAGTGGATTTTTGATTAGTTATCTCAGTAACCACTTTTCTTTTGTTAGTCACTGTGACAAGCCTAGTAATAATCAGATCGCTAGTCATCACTATCGCAAATAAATGTAGAAGGCAGAGACGATCGGCTAATACCAAGTAGCTGTTCCGAATTAGTAAGGAAATGGAAATCAAAAAATTGGTAGTCAGTAACACTATATCCCATAAAGACGGATCTGCGAGGCCAGGACGAAGTTATACATAACACCTAAGACTTTAGGGATAATTTTGCTCTAAAAATGTTCTATTTCAAAGCCTCTTTACACTTGTTATGGGATGATTCTTATGCAGAAGCCATTGCCTTCCAGAGTACGACAATTACTAATGGTTCGTCCATCCTATCAGATACTAGCTGTGTTGAAAAGATGTTCTACTCACTTCTTTACGCTACTTTATGACATAACTTTCAGCTTCTAGACCTTTAAATCGTTCGGTTTTCACGCAATATTTTATATTACGGACCTATTTCTTTTAAATTTTCAAACCTTACTTCTTAAAAACGTCCGAATACAAATAACTTGGAGGTGACGAGGGACAAGTTGGTTTATTAACGTACATATCAGTTTAAATGGTTTAATGCTTTGAAGGTACGTGGATATCCTTATCTTGTGTTTCAATTTAAGCAGAAAAAAGCCTTCAAAAACATATACAAGTTTGTAAACATTATTTAAAAACCATATCTACCGAAAACTTTATGTCATACCCCGATTAAAAATTGAAAGAAATGACTGTCTTTTTGTCACATTCAAGGCTTATTTGTCAGTCACTCAAGGATGGTAGGATTCTATAGTTCTGACATACATGAAAACACTGAAAACAAAGCTGACTACAAAGCAGACAGTCTAACGTTGGTTTTTCTATATCCAGAGTTAACTTTCAGCAGTCAATCATAATTAAGTATACAAAACATGACTATTTCAGGCAAAAGTTCGAAGGAAGTAAAAATTAGATGCCTAGTGAGTATAAGTTAGGCAAGTATAGTCTTCTACCCAATGGCAGATACAGGCAACAGAACACTACGAGATGCTAACGACGTTGCAGATTAAAATCTTTCTTGTAGAAAACTACTGCACTTAGGAGCACGGACAAACGATGACGATCATTTTTTTGAAAACCCAATGAAGTTGAGTGTCGAAACCGTTTTTAGTTTTGATTTTGTTTTCAGTTATAAAGAGATTAGGCCAGTTGGCCTATGGTAAGCCTTGCAGGAAATATCTCTGTGAAGATCTAGTTTCTTGAACGCGTTGACAGGTGCTGATACTATGCGTCCAGCTGTAATGTCTCCTCAGTCTGGTATTGATGGGTAAATGAATGGGGGAAAATCGAAAATAGAGGGGAATTGAAGGGGAAAAGTAGACAGTGATGGGGAAGTTGTATTAAAAAAAGGCTGAATATGAGTGGGAAAGCAACTTCGTCGGGGAGGAGACATGCAGGTCGATCGAGAAAGGCGGCTCCAATGGTGGGGGGGAAGGGGGAAGGAAACAATCGATGGAAAAGGCGAAAAAGGAGGAAATGGTTGCATTTTCCTACGATTTTCACTTCACATCAATGGTGTAAATCCAATATCTGTTTAACGAGCTTGTGTAAACCAGCTGATTTCTTGCTCGCTTCTTGGTCATGCGGAACGGTTCCACGTCTTCGGCGGATTCCAGTGCAGTTGATCTAGTCACTAGTCTGCTATGACCCTGGTATACAGAACAGGAGGTTAAGTGTTGGTTAGTTCGCCTTGGACTGTGGTACAGTTGGCTTCTTCAGATGTCGAGTTGCCAGACAGTTGTTCGGACTGGTCATTAGAGAAAGTCACGGATAGTGAAGAAAAAACCTAGAAAGGAAGATTTTTGTGAGCAAAGGGAAAAGTGGACTGATGGAGTAATCTGCTTACACCCAAGTTAGGCGAAAAGGGGTGCAAAGATATGAAGAACTCAGGTAGGTAAGGCTAACTCATGCCAAGTGAAAGGGATGAATAGGGCTTACAGTAGAAAGAAAACTGGTTGTAGGGGTAAAATAGTTGGAATGGAGTGATAGCAGTAGATTTCTTCTGCTTAGTTCGGATTCCAGCTACATGTGCGTAAATCATGGGTCTGCTTGACTGTGCAGCCTTTTCTTGAAGCTTTCAACAGATGGTGCGAAGACTTCTGTCGGCAGTGCATTCCATTGCCCACAGACTAGGAGGGAGAAGTGTGAACGCACATGAGTTTTTGACCTTTAGTGGACAATTCGCTTAGGGTTTCCACGAGGATCGCCACAGTAGCCACTCGGTAATAATCCTCTGTTCGGGTGACTTTGATTGCTCAGCACTTTGTAAGCCGTTATCAAGTCACCTCGTAACCTTAGGTAGCTAAGAGAGTATAGACCTAGGTCTTTCCGCTTACCCTCATATGGTTTTCGTTGTATTCTAAGGACCCCTTTTGTAGCTCGCCTCAAAACATATCAAGTCAACCTTCAAAAGCCAAGACACCAATTCACCATACTTACTTACCTGATCAACCTTTTTCTTCAAAATTTCGACTTCCCTTGCACTAGAAAATGTTACATCTAAGCCGGGTGATATTGCAAAAATAAAAAGCACTCCAGCCTCAGTCGACTCTGTAATTAGGTACTGAAGCTGCTGTTCCTCTTCTGGTGTGTAAAGATCTCTCCACGACTGTCTGTGCTTGATATCATCCTTAGGGGCATACAGATAGGCATTCATTCCCATCTGATTCATTCTTCTGAATAGTTCTTTGCGTTGGGATACGTCCACGGGCGGCCATAAAACCCTGATCACCAATCATATACGAATAAAGAAACAACTATACCTTCAACAACACCCGTTAAGAATTCCTTGTTTGCAGGCACTTTGGTCTCTTCGTACGACATCTTCAGGAGGAGCGCCAGTCGCCGGACGCGATTCTCACCTGCAAAATGCAATATCAAATTTCGCGCGAGTGAGATAAAGCGTTAACTATCGTCCTTCTGATTGGCCAGTTCCGTATGACCCTCAGAAAAGCCAAGGCGCTAATTTCTAGCCTTGCTAACCTGTAGGATTAATTCTGGCGCTATCGGGACGCATGTGTTTAACAATCGGCATTGGTAAAGGAGCATCAAAATGTCATTCAGATTGATTGTTGTATCAGTAAATCTTGTAGCTGAATTCAGACAACTTGTGAGGAATGGACGGTTACGAACACGGCAGGGGTGTAAAGCGTGCATCAAAGGATCCCAAGAGTTAAATTTTCTACTTAGTGAATTTGTCATTGAATGCTAAGAAAATTAATAGCTTTTACAGGATTTGTCGTTTTCTCATAAAAGAGACGAGAACAATAACGTCGACCCGGAATACAAATACGACTATACTGTTTTGACTTGTCAAGTTGGTCGGTACAGTATAGCTCACCAAGAACACCTGATGGATGTGGAGAACGTTTTACATAAATGCTTACCTATATAGCTGAGATCTTAGGAGATATAGGAATGCTTCATAGGACTATATCGCTGGAAGCCCAATGAAGGAAATCGTGGTTCGCATCACTGCATGCAGTTTGATGTTAGTCTACCATTCTTATCTCTGTAATTACAGACGGGCGACATAACCTCTGTTGTGCAGCACTCCCCAACGAAATACGCAGTATATTATGAGTACTAAACTATGCTGACGAACGGGAAAATGCAGGCAGGACACAAGTACTGCGTGGTCGATATGACTGCAAATGCTACTACTACTACACCAGCACATGAATGCTAATGCCGTGTCGTCGTTTAATTCATGTGCAAAATTTCTGTCTTTTGATTTTGGTAGGTCTTCCGAGACGTTAATTCACTTTTTAGCAGACGTATTTCGACACTACATGATGGTTACGAGACTGTAACCAGACGCATGTTGAAGGTAACTAGGTGACTGTAGACATCGGAGAAATGCGAATGCTTACTTCGGAAATGATGTATGAGGTGCAGTTATTGACTCAGACAAACTCGGGAAGAGCACGTAGACTTTCTAAAGACGTACACTACCAACAGGATTAACCCTCGGTAACGTCACAGACTGCTGAAAACCTACTAACTACCTATGTACATATTGTTTCATTCCTGAAATGGATTTTTAATACATTTTTCACGTATTTCTTCTTTGTTGTTGAAGCGGAAAATAAAATGGGTTATAGTGACAGTAATAGAAATGGGAGGACTTGTGTTACTGTATTATGACCAACGGGTATAGGCATTCAGCTAACAACCAGTGCCTTATACCTCCCAGGCACGCTCCGTCAACGGAAGTCTGGTCAGTCAAGTAGTGTAGCTGACCCTCACAGCAGGTGTGGTCTCTTAACTTAGTAACTATGTCACCTCATGGGAACTATCTACTGCATGAAAGCCTTTGGCGTTTGCTTCGCTTGAGCGACATCTGTTCTTGTGCACCATAGTATTTCCCTCTAAGTCTTCCCTAGTGTGAAGTGAACATCTGTTGCACTACTTCAAAACCATCAAGATGGACAGAGGGTCGATTACTTACCATCTAAGCTTGTCGCACTTCACGTATGCAGCCTGATAACACTCAAAGAAGCACTAGCAACTTATCTAGAAATTTATTTTCATAAAAGCAACATTCTTTACAAATACGTGCGAGAAAATATATATCTGTATACATATATAAATATATATACAGGACTAAAGTTAGGTCCAAACTTCTGTTGTTATGTAGTAGAATGGTCACCAGCATACTGCTCCTTGAGGATAGACTTTATATCCTTGCGTTGTATCAAAACCCACGACTACTTATTCAATTATTGATAGAAAGAATTTATGACAGCAATAATAATCTATTACAAATAAAGAACGCCATTTTTACATGCAATATCTGAATGTTACTGTTTTCAGTGAAGCTGAGAAAATTCCAAAATAAATCGTCACGCAGTATAGAGTCTCCTAGAGTAGGCAATTGTTTGCATACTAGTTATCACGTACTATTTGCGTTCGTTTTGTTTTGTTACATCTAGAACCACTGACAGTTCTTCAAAAAGACACCAGCATCATAACGGCAATTTCACTTATCAAAACGTTGGTCAGCAAAAATGTAACACGTTAACATATTTCTCTAAAGTAGGATAACATATAATATGGTGAAATTATTCTTCATATTAGTGCTAGGACAGGAAACAATTCGGAGTCAACAGGGAAAAAATTACAAAGCTAACCTATAGTGCTTCGGGAGATGACTTTCCAATGCTTATTAGCAACTAAATAGTGGGGAAATACTGTAAATTAAACCAAATACCTGTCTGATTGGACATACCCAACATTTCCTGCTTTAGTACATAACGCCTAAGTAAAATCAAAAATTATGTTCAGATTACAAGCAGTTTATGCCACCTTTTTACCACAGCAACGCATATCTGTCAAAGAAAACAGGTTATACGCGGAGGAAAAGTAGAAAACTATTCGCTTTCACTAGTCTCTAACCTATTTCTACTTTTGTGACAGCTGATCGGGAAATTGCCTGCGACCTACAGCCAGGAGTGAAGCAAGAAATCCAGATGTACTGCCGGTAAACCAAAGTATGAAGACGACTGGTCTATGCGGGTGGATGCAATTCTACTTAGCTAACTTGTAGCGCATTCGAAACTTCACCTGTTTCGATTTCCACAACACCTTGTCTTCAGTTTTCGCATCAGTGGTATCCTTCAACTCAGTTTTCAGTCTCCAAAATCAGGTTTAGCTGGTGACGACTGAACACTACGACACTTTGAACGACTCTGGAACAGACTTACTAAGAAGTTGACCATGTATGGCATGATGTGAACACCCATTGGAAATCCATGCTTTACAAAATCATGGTCCTCATCAGTCACTGTTCCACTTTCAACCAGGAAGTACTTCAAGTAGCTTAATGTAATAAGCAACCCAGCTCCCAAACTACTTAGTTTAGAAAGACACCACTCGGTCGGACACAGCAGGAATAGTACCGAATACACATAAGAACGATTCAAACAGACATGTTGGAAGGCATTGAGGGATGACAGTCAACGGCATTGAGTTAGGCTTGCAAATATTTGTTTCCAATCCAAGAAGGCTGTTCCGCCATGCTGCATCTTTTCAGTAGGCTAAAGAGTGAGTCTCTCAACTCCTACGGCCCGAAAGACTGACTAGTAGCAACACTGAGGAGCCTACCAGCATTTAAAAATCTTTTAATCATCGTCTACCTACTCAAGAGTTTATGAATGTCCCACTAAGTTGTATTCTAAGTCGTTGACTTAGGCGTTGATCTAGTACAGCGCAAAGTGTTTCTTCTCACAAGTCTCGCCAAGACCAGATTAGAACCAGGTACATTGTACACTATGGCTTGCTGAGAAGATGATAATCGTTTTATTACCTCAGTAGCAATGAAATCTACTAAATTGTTGGCCTTCTGCAAGTTATCACTTGATAGGGTTAGTTTGACCAAACAAACTAACGGAGAGAATTTAGCCAAGAGTCCCTTGAATATTATCTAAGATAATCCTAATATTTGCAATGTCATTTTGGTCTTTCTCGAGTCTTGCGTCCATTCCAGAGACAATGTCTGAGGCTCTGATGTTTAGTGTGGGGAAAATAATCTCTCCTGCATAGAAAACAACAGGCTGAGGCATCTATCTCATTACGTTTCGGAACGGATCGTGAGGTACTCGTTTTAGAATTTCCACTAAGACAGTCTGTTTTCGAGCACTTAGCTTTATTTCTTCCCATAGTTAAGGTATGGATTTTGGTCTATTCTCTGTTGTGTCAACGAGAGGTTATTTAAATAAATAAATAGATATTTTTATTCTCATCTTAGTAATTTAACATGAGAGAAGCCAGTTTACAGGCATCATCACATTGATTTAAATTGGAAAATCTACACGATTTTACGAAACCTGAATGGTACGGGAGGTCATTAAATCCGATCAAAAATAGAGCAAAATTCTAAATTTCCGTTACAAGCAGCTGACACGGAAAGTTAAACGAATTTGCTAACCAAATATTATGCACATGTGTACTACTATTTATCAGGTACTACTAGATATCACAGTACACAGAATAACCGACTCAGAGCAAATGACAGAAATCACGTTAAAATGTAACACAGTTTCGAACGTACCGCGAACGTTCCAACATCCAGTATCAATAGTGCGAGTAGAGGGAACTTGCAGTTTTTCAGCTCTCGCTTCTAGGTCTTGAGGTTTGGTTCTTCTTCTTCGGTCGTACTCTTTCAATGGTCGCAGAAGTCTTTGCGCTTTCCTGCTTAAAGCTTTGGGGGTAGTGCTTGTCTACTTGAAGGTGTTTTATTTGAACAATGTAGCTTGGTTTGTTTAGGGTGGGAGCGACGGAGCTGTTGACAGGATTAATCAACCACTTGCGATTCCTATTGTTGTAGGCACCTGTAAGTAAGTGTTAAGCGCTACTTCAGTAGTGATCGAAATAGGATGAGTGGGGAATGAGAAAAAGAGAAGTGAAAAGTACTTTTCAAAAGATAAATGTGACTGGTAATAATACAGAGGAGTGGTGCATCTTACTGCAGATACTAAGGTTGAAGAATAGAAGGATAATGCATGGACGGAGGGGGGTATCATCGGTTGTTGCTAACAAATGTCCATGGTAAGCCGTTTGCGCTCACACACACACACCAGAAGTCTTTTCAAGAGGTTGACTCGTAGAGCACCTTCCTGGCACCAAAATATAACTAGGGCTAAAGCAAATACTCTAAGTTAAATTAACTAAATAAATCTCTAGCTTGCCTCCGGATGCTTAGGGTGTTTTAAGTTTTGCTTTAACGAGCATGCATCCGAGCAAGCTTGGACGCCATTTTGCGCTCCATTCTGCTGGTTACCACGCACGTACTCCGAGTCCCTAGTTCAGCCTTACAAACCAGATAAGTTGATTAAACTTTACCCCATTCATTATTATTACACTTACTTTAATTAAATGCATGGCTCCTTCAAATGCATTAAGTATGAGTTCTTTTGATTTGTGTTTTGTTATCAGTACT